TCTGCTTAGCTCACAACATTGGGCAACGGGTAAAAACGACACCTGCAGCCCATCCCCCTCCATGGGGACCGTTTGTAAATCTGCAAATTGATTTTGTACAACTACCTAAGTGCTGTTCTTATGAGTACATTCTTGTTATTATTGATATGTTCTCTGGATGGGTGGAAGCCTACCCATGCGTACATGCTGATTGCATCACTGTAGCGAAGAAATTGCTCAAAGAATTCATCCCTAGATTTGGATTGCCCCTCACAATAGATAGTGACCGCGGCACCCATTTCACAGGACAGATAGTAAAAAACATCTGCCAAGCACTCAACATACAGCAACACCTACACTGTAGTTATCATCCACAATCGAGTGGTGCTGTAGAACGTAAAAACTCTGATTTAAAAACGCGCATTTCGAAGATTTGCGCTGAAACAGGCCTCAAATGGCCTGATGCGCTGCCCATTGCTCTTATGCACATTAGGAACACTGTTAACAGAAAACATGGCCTAACCCCTTATGAAATACTCATGGCACGACCCATGAGGATGCCAGCTACACCACCTGTTGCCCCACACCAAACAGACCTACAATTAACTGATGAAACTGTACTAAATTATTGCAAGGCATTAATGAAGTATGCCAGGTCTGTTCATTCACAGGTCCAAGAAGCCTTACCTCAACCACCGGATGTTCCCTGTCACAACCTCGAACCAGGGGATTGGATCTACGTAAAGGTCTATCAACGAAAAAACGCACTTCAACCCAGATGGAAAGGACCTTTCCAGGTACTTCTGACCACTAATTCTGCTGTTCGTTGCCAAGGTCACCAAACGTGGACTCACGCCTCGCACTGCAAGAAGGTATCACCTCCATTGGACCCCGAAGCAGCTATATTCCAACCAAGGTTGGGATCTTTCCCTGAGGCCAAGGACAAAGACCCTCAGGACCTCACTCAGGCAAGTGAGGAGCATCAGGGTGCAAGTGCTAATAACCTCTCCCCTGAACCCAACACCTTAGCCCAGCTGGATTAATCAGTTAAAGAACGAAGCTATCATCTCCGGCCTCAAAAAAAGTGAATGCTCCCATTCGGAAGATCACCACCTCGATCAAGACCAAGAGCCAACGTTATCAGTCCTTTAGGTAACCTGAGCTCAGAGGACAAAAAAAGACTTTGGCTGCCATCCTGGGTTTGGCTGGTAGTGTTCTTTTTCTTACTGGTGCTGGTTATGTTTGTTGTTAAAGTTTTTTGTCCCTCCTGTCTCTAAAATGGTACTGATATCCTTATACATCACACTTAGGTATCTTAATATCACCCAAGGGGGGTGGGAAAAAAATTTATAATTACAGATCTCCCTTACAGTGGCTTAAGCTAAAAATAAAAGTGACTGCTGGATATGCTTTCACAGCCCAGTGCACCTACACCAAAAAATCCCAATGATCGGAATACCAATATCCCTCCAGCAATGGGGAAAAATAAACGGTGGCTTCGTTAGACACTACTCGTTAGCTGCCCATCAGTCCACTCCTTAGGAATGGAGGGCCACCCCTGCTAACTAGATAATCTCCCCAAAAATAGAGGCGCCTTTCTGTTACAGATCCAACAACACCGGAGCTTATAATAAAGCCACACCTGTAGGACACTACCCTCATTGCCTAACTACTCTAGATTATAGCCCTAATAGCACCAGTGAAATCCTGTTGAATAATGTACCCTCTCTCAATTGTACAAGATTCAAGGTCTACAACTTTTCTAAGGAAGCTCATGTTGCTCTCATTGCAAACAGATCGGAATTTTACATTGACTCCAATTTTTCTACTTGTAATATATCTCGGTCCAGCAAGATAGCAGCTAAACGTGGTCCGTCCTATACGATGCATATCAATCGAAAGTGCCGGATATGGCACAACACCTGTCGAGATTTAAGTACCCTTTCTGCCCCAGGCCTTTACTGGCTCTGCGAAAACAGGGCTCATAAAATCTTGCCCTGGAATTGGGTGGGGGGGCATACACTCTTGGACGTGTTATTCCTGGTTTTGAAATGCATAGTGCAATATATCTGGAACAA